TTAGAATAAAACAGAGCTTAAGGGGGTGATCACAGTGACACGTTCAAAATCTCTGATCCGATGCAAAATTTTTTAGGCGTTTTAAAAGGTAATTTGCATAGCTAGCCCGACGTTGGTAGTGCTAACGGAAGGTAAACAATCTTTCTGAGGTTTCATAAATGTTTGCAGCTCTTTGCGAGATGAAGACGAAATTTAAACATACGCGTCATAAACAACTTACTTGAAAACTACTACGTATCCTGTCTGTGCCTTGATCGTAAACGGTGCCTGAAATACAAGACTTATCTTCATTAAACTATTTATGCTCATATTTAAGCATTTCGCACTTTAATCAACTCATTCTAGAGGTAGTTTTCAACTCCAGCATTTAAACTCAAATGGCACACCTCTGCACCATATTATGCAACAGCGATAGGCTGTAAGACTAACCCTCTATATAAGTGCTATACTTAAGCCAATCTCTCTAAAATCGTATTTAGAATCAAGGTATATGATCCCTAGTAGGCAATGTTACGTGTGCCACATGTATAGCGTGCAGAATGCTTAGGTGGAGAATAAATTGATAACGCATGAGATGTTTGCGTGAGCAAGAGTGGTTATCTCGTGATCTTTATTGTTCCCCGACAACAGGGATCATTAGTCATTGAACCAAAATCAAAGTAATCACAAAGACCAATCAAAAGAAAGAAAAATATCATAGGAGCCAATGAAAATGCAAGGCAGAAAAAAGTGAGCTGGCTAAAGCGCGGGAAAACGCAGGTGACCAAGTCTTGTATTTGATTGGTTGAGAGATAAGAGCGAACTTTCTAGATCAACTACAGAGCGTAACAAAGAAAAACCAATGTAATCTTGGATTGATTTTGATACTTAATTGGGAAAATTGCACCGATAATAGCTAAAGACGGATTAGGGATTGTCATAGGAATAAGATCTGTACGTATAGATTCAGTCTCCAAATTTGATTCTTTTTCACCAAACTAAACTTAGGTTTACCTACCGTCGAATAAACATGCAGACGGCCCATAAAATCCCTCCAGCACCTGCTGCGAATCCGACCACACCAATTATCACATAAACCACCATGGAGTCTAAAGATAACCACAAAGATCAAATTGAGCAATCAGAGTAACTAAACGAAAAGGAATAAAGGGTGTGGGGCGATTGCAACTTAACTTGGTCTTATCAACTGAGTTGTTAGTTAGAGTGGCTATCGTAAAGAGTAAAGCTGACGCCATGGACACCGACTCATAGGATACTTTCGTGACGTAGAAAGGAATGAAAAAACGCATCTAAACCAATCGCTAGACGCTTTAATCTCCCAAAACGTTCAAAGCAACATATGGCAGTCTGTGGTCTTTCTCTACACATAGGAAGTTCCGAGAGTTCCAAAAATTCGGCGTTCTTTTAATCCTCACGGCATTAACGAAAGTTTTTCATTCAAATAATTCAATCTTGTGTTTACGTTATCATGTTCCTGCCAATATCGTGGCTCCATATTATCTGCATTTAAAACACACACACACAATACGCAATTCCTCTCTTTGCTCTGACGAAGAGCAAACCCTCGAAACGTCAGCTTTAGAAAATCTCAACGGTAGCCATCATGGTACGAAAGATGCCGAAACTTTCAGTAAAGCACGTTATTCTCAGATTCTACTCACGTTTTTCAACTGGTCTTTCAGCGGTACTCTCGAATATAGTGGAGATCTCTACGTCGCCATTCGTTGAGGACGTATCACTTATTTTACACAACGAGGGTGAATAACAGACTACAGAGAAGCAGTTCTTGTCAACCATGTAAGCGACATTACAACCCTGCTGTGCACAGCATCGATCCATACACATATGCATATCACTGAAGCAAATAACAGAGATAACTAGTAAAAGATAACTGTATGGAGGAGTGGGTGGGGGGGGG